ATTTTTTGAAGCGGTGTAAATATAATATTTTGCAATTATTGTACAGAGGTTTAAACCGAGACACAGAGGCACGGTGTCTGTGATGCCGTAAAGTATTTGGGCCGCGCTCATTTTAGTCAGCAACAAAACTCGGATAAATTCGCGACCTCTGGCAACCTCTATCCGGACCCGAAAACTGAGCATGCGTAGAGTAGTCACTTCGCATTCTCAGCCAATCAGGTTTGTCGACAGATCTGACGGAGAGTCCGAGAATCGCGGGCTACTGGTGTTAAAGCGCGGCCCCTGGGGACGAGAATGGAAAAAAAGCTGATTACATCCACCATATCCGCATTAATTAAAATCGTCTCAACCCTAACCTATGATCAGGCGTTCTGTTTAATTTTTCGCCGAATAAAGAACGCCTGGTCTCAGGATATCTCAACCCCCAAAATGGAAATACGACTTATCTGCCATAATCCCAAGACGTTTACAGTATGACATTATTGAGACTGATCTTGGAAGTCCCTCGCTCAAAAGTTATAATTTGGCACTCTTGGCTGCTCTCTTTAGCAGGTCTCAGCTACGCCAGACGAGCACATGGGACGCTTCGTTTGATTCTGTAAACAAACGAATTCCTTTCTCTGTTTTAGGAAGAATGTTTGTGACCCCATGCGACAAAAAGACACTGTAACAAAACGTCACCGGGTCTCGTCCTCAAAAGAAACTTTGTTTATTTCTTATTCGGGAATGTGCTAAGTGTCTTATTAACCTGCTCACTGTGACAAATTCGTTTATACCGGGTTTATACGGCGGGGCTGATTTGACAACAAGTGTTAACTCATAATAAATGCATGATGGAAACTTAACTGGTCTTCGCCTGTCTTTCATATTGGATACTCTACGATGATTTCTTCCTTTGAAAAATGAAACGATAAATGATGATTTTGAGAACTACCAGTCTTAATGTTTCGAATTCAGTTGACTGCTACAGAAATCTACAGGTGGCATTGACGTAGTTAAGGTGTCACGTTACCGCGAGGAAACACAAGTTTGAAGATTTCGCTACTTGACGGCTAACGTATGGACGGGAAAACGACTTCCAGTGTTATCGCGCTTTGGTTAATGTGTCTTATTGTGGCCGCAGAAGCACAAAAGAATGGATTTAGAGGAGGCTCAAAATCGTACGAAATTCACGTCGAGGCGAACAGTATAGGAACTAATCTCCACTACAAACTGCCCGAGTCTAAGGTGAAGGCCGCTTCTAAACAGGACTGGCAGGTGGACAACGATAACGCAGAGATGCTGGCGATGAACAGCCCTGTTTTGGCTACGGTCAATGTTAAACACCCAAAGTTTAGCATGAAAGGACAGTGGCCCGAGTATAAGACAAGCTTTAAGCTTCCGAAAGACGTTAGCGTAGCTTCAAAGAGAACGGATTTTTCCAAGTTTAATCACGGCACGCACAAGAAAGCAGAGAAGTCGGATCAACCCGACGCAGACCTTTCTGGTAGTGGACAAGCCTCCCCGACGAGACATCAGACGAGACAGCCCTCGGGTTCTGGGGGTTTGCTCACAAAATTGGCAGAAGGGTTGTTTAAGGGAAGAAAACCGCGAAAGAAACTGCAACAAGAGAATGGTATAGACATGTCAAAAATAACTAAGCTTCTCCTTCCAATCGCTGGATTAAAGAATGTTGATCTGAACAATTCTCACGTCAGTGATGCCATGAAGGGAGTCATCAAACACGCAAGGAAAGTTGTTGATGAAGCCAAGACCGTTCTTAATGACGCGGCAAATTTTGTAACAACGGTACGGAAGCTTGTTAAAGTCAGTAAAGATCACCCCAAAATGCACAGAAAAGTCGCCAAGGCCAGCTCAGTTGCTAAGGAAAAGTCTGCCACAAGCCAGACTGACTCCAATAGTTTTTCCACCCACGCTTCGAAAAAGTCATCATCCTCATCTCGAGAACGAAGTCAAAAGAACAGTGCGCTGTTTAACGTTGCAGAGAATATCAAACAAAGTGATTTCAAAGGTCGGCAGAGAAGTTTGCAACGAAACTTTGACGCGCACAAACACAACATAAAGGCCAAACACTCGGGCAGTCAAGAAAATAATGAGAAAGTAAGAACAGGAGCGAGTGAGAAAGGTGTCCAAAAACGTTCAAACCTTGATTCTCCCGATAGCATGAAAAGGAACAAAAGAAATTCGCGTGTTCATCGGAGAGGGCTCGCCGAAACATTGGAAAGCATTCTATCTACTATCAACGGACTTAAAGGGCTGTCCAAGTACCATTAAAGTCAACGAAGCGACAGACTTCTCGTAAAAGATAAAAATTAGGTTTACCTCGGTCGAAACACGCGCGTACTGCGAGTAACTGCGTATAGAGGGCTTGTACTTTCATCATCTTCTTTCCTTTGATATAGGGTTTAAGGTATTCATTTTATAATCAGGAAGCGCTATATTTTTTTAAACTAGAACAACCCTGGTAACCCCTCAAGGTATTCGGTATCCTTAACTTTTTAAAGGATCGCTACTGCTTTTGCAATATAACTGCTATTGAAATGCGTTCTCAAAACAACTGCACACATTGCAGACCTACTCATAGCCAAAAATACCCAAGAACCATAGGTACGCAACGCGTGCAAAGCTTACAGATTCAAATGGACACTGAAGCATTTCATGTTTTATTACAGGTAACCCAAGTTATTCACAACTGTAACTATTAGTTAAACAATATCTAGACATCGGGCTTAGAAATTAATCATACAATCAATACAAAAATTAATCATACAAAAAGATGAACTAAAACTTTTTCGCATGGTAATTCACACTCTGAATGACTTGGGAACCTAAGCTTAACTACATTTACATTGGGGACGAAAGAAAACAAAAATCAAGCATATATATTTCTTTGCCCATTAACAAATTAGTTTACAATGATTCAAACTAGCTGATAACAAGTTTACCAGTGTAAAATTCAATCTAAATTTAATTAATCTAATACTACATAATCTAATTTAATATCAATTTATATCTTCTATGTACTTATATATGAATCTATTGCCAGCCTAATCTCACCAATGACAGACAATAGTTTTTACCAGTGGCACAACAGTGGCTAATAGTAATCAAAAGCTCATGCACACCTTAATTTACAATCACGTTTGAGTACTATTTCTTTGAGTGCTTTACTGTTAGAACATAATCTACAGAGAAACATTGTATGGATCAGAAACCTAAAGTGCCAGTTGTCTCTTTTTTTCTGGACTGAAACCACGTTTGACTTTAATGTAAAGTGTTTGAAACAATACTTGAAAGATGTTGGAAAGATCCTTAATGAAAGATCTTTGCAAGGATCTTCCAAATATCTTGGCAAGATTGTTTAGCAAAATCTTGGAAAATCCTTAAAGATCCTTAAGAAGAAGCAAGAACTGTAAAGATTGTTAAAATTTTTGTAGGATCTGGGCAAGGATCAGTGAGGATCTTGATTACTAACCTGCATAAGGTCAATGAAGATATTCGGGGATTCCTGAAGATCCTTGAAAGATTGACACCAGCCAGATGTAGTTCAAGCATAAGCAAGAATAACTTTTAAGAAGTAAAAGAATGTACAGCCAGGAAAACAAAAATTAAAAGCAGAAAATTAGATGTTGTCCAAACAAAGCTTTTTTTTTTCAAGAGATCATAACCTAGCTAAATATCTAAATTTGTATACATGTAACTTGACAATTTCTACTAAAAATGTTAATTTCTGAAGTTTTACTGAGGGAACTCTTCAGAGCAGCCAAAGTTAAGCATAGGATGTGAACTGCATATCATTACTGCAGGAATGGATTTGACTCAGGTTTGAGCAATTTCAATACTGTGTTAAAGCTTTCCCTCAAGACCCAAGACAACCAACACAATTGCAGCAATTATGACAATCAGAACAAACAATAAAATTAGGCACATCTTCTTGTCTTGCCACCACATTCTTTGGCGTAATCTTGTGGACTGTCTGTGAAACACCTGGGACTGAATAAATAATATAATTATAAAAGAACAAATTAACAATTAAAACCACCCGCAATCATCCATAACCAGATCACATAAAGCCTGTACTTCACTATTCCAATCATGATAAAACCCATTTAATCATCATCATCATCATCATCATCAGTTCTCAAGGCACCAGTAGGCGCGTAAGGCTGTAAACCCATTTAATGCCACTTCATTTATTACAAACTGATCACAACTTTTCAGTCTGGTTAAGATCTGCCATCTTTGATATCTCCAATGTTCATGATAATTTACGTCTAGTCTCTGGTACCTGAAATGATTTATGCCCTTTATGTCCTGAAAATTGCTCTTACAGCACTTGCCAAATACCACATTGCCCCTTGACAAAGGCACAATACTTTTCTGATCTAAGCTTTCATATCAATTTGACTCTGTCTTTGATGAATTTAGGACTTTCGCAGGGGGTTAACATGACAGGTGTAAGACTTCTTACTGACAAATTTCAAATTATCAGCTTTGCCCCAATCCCATTATTCACAGGTGTCTTTATGATTAATTTAAACCCAAGACCTACGCAAAAAAGTTGACATGACTAGTACTAGACTTCCAGCATTGTCCCAAACCCATCCCTCAACTCCCCTCTCCCCTCTACCCCCCTCCACCCTACACCCACAAACAAACACACCTGAAAGATTTGTTGATGAGATCAAACCAAACCCAAAGGAAACCTTGTTGAGTGAATACTACTGCAGCAACCCTTTCACTTCCAAAATTGCAAAGTTTAAAAATAAAACATTTCATTTTACAACATAATTAACCAAAAGTAGCACCATCTGGAACAAGTAAGGGTGGCAAAGGGTTTATGAATGATGCAATAAGGGTGTAAATTTAGTGGGTGATGTACGAAAAGCAACTAAAAGAAATACATGATGCATGAATGTATGAAAAAAGCTGATCTTTACTGAAGGTAAAAGACTATAAGGAGGGGGGTGAATAGGTTTTCTGATCGACAGATTTGGCCTTAAAAACACACAGATTGTGATTTTTGCCGTAAATCAAGCAGATTCGCAGATTTTGAAAACACAGTGGATTGTGGATCAGCTGTGAATTTTGGCACACATTCCAGATTGTGCCTGTCTTGATATTCGGATCTTGGATCTAAACGAAATTTGGATCATAGATCTTTCTTCAGCCTTAGTCGGTATGTTAATGACTTCATCCATGGCAAATTATTTCTTTTTTTGAATGAAGCTTATTTAAACTCAGGTGTGAGACTGTTATTGGAATTGCACTTTGTCATAGTCATTAAGCATGTTGTCTTCTTTACTATTTGTGCCAAATTAACAGTGGCATTCACATTTACCTTTGAACCTTTACACTTCTGTTTCTGGATGTGGTTGTGGTTTCAGATTTGAACAAAAATATTGGCGGATCAACAGATTTGGTGACAAAAATGCACAGGTCAGTGGATTTGCATACCCCTATTCACCCCCCTCTATAAGTGGTGTCACAAATTTTGTTTCAATTCATGTGCGAAACAAGATCACAACCTCCCTTTGCTACCCATTTCTAATGAAAATAATACATACATTCAATTTGTTGACTGACTAGAAACATGAGTTTCTAGAACAATAAAAGACCCCTGATAGTAGAACATCCTTAAAGAAATTCACTGTCTTGCACAGTAATGTACAAGTTTAAGATGGACTCTGCTAAAAGTTTGAGCAATAAGTGCAAAAGTTATTTAAGTAATAAAAATCTAAACACAGCAAGGTAACTCTTTGAATACTATTTACATGTAAAACATCTTAATTAAATTCATTTCTCTAAGTAACCTGGTGATTAAATTCCTACATGTAAGCATTCACAAGAAAGTTAATGTCAAACCTCGTAAGAATGCTTAAAGCGTGTGTTATTGTGTTTTGAACCAACACAAAACGTCCGTTTTTCTTAAAATATGGGTAACTTCAAATTCAATTTTCTCTCACAGGGTCAGCTTGAGAGCTCAAGTCTTGATAAGTTCTTCTCAACCGTATTCAAAATACTACCATGCTATGAGGGTTTCCTGGTAACTTTATTTTTGCCCTTATTGCTCAAATGTTCAGCGAAGACCATCTTAATATTTATAATTATGTAACTAATAAACTTACACTATGATCCAATTCTTCTGCCTTCCCCACAAGAACATCAATCCTCTCACCTCTTTCAAGTACTTTTTCTACAGTAGATAAACAAAGGAAAATACTTCATCTCTTATATAAAAAAAACAACAACAACAACTTACAGCAATAACAAAATAATTGTGATGAAAATATCCTGTCACAGTAAAAACCCGCACATAAGAACCCAGTGATTTAAGAACCTACAGGCTGAAATTTGGCATTTAAATACTCAGAAATATAAGAACTTGTTCAGCACGGCAAAGAAAAATGGGTTCTTATACCAAAAAAAATAATTCCAATTTAGATGGTCTAAATTCTGGATTTTAATTGTGTGAAGAATTTCTGACAAAAAGTTATTGAGTATAATATTTTTGTTTTGATTTACTTTTTTTATTTTCACTTAGGAAATAATCATGTTTTCCATAAAGCTACTAGTGCAATATATATGATCTGAAAATTGAGAAGGTATTAAGAACCTAATCAGCCTGAATTGTGAAAAACTACCCTAAAATACAAGCTAGAACCTGTTCAGCCTGACCTCAAAAATTCTAGGTTCTTATATGCAGGTTTTTACGGTATTACACTGTAATTGATGGAAAACGTATGTTATCATAATCATAGTTTCGGAGATTGAAACAAAAAAACTTGGCATGCTCGACATGAATATCATATAATTTTATCATGTAATTTCAGGCTTTTAGCCAGAAAAAGAGGGCATCCACAATGTCCTATAGCATCTGCTCAAATGAACAATTTGTAAAGCAACATGTGAAAAATAAAACAATCCTAAAAATTAAATTAATTAAAAAGTGGGCATCCACAGGCTACTTGGACATCCATGCATCTAGCTAAAAGCCTGAGTGTGTAATTTCACCCAGCAAGCACTTTGTCCAGATCATCCTTTCAAATAAGATGCTTGGAAAAGAAAAAAGGGACTACAACGTACTGTCAGAGGAATCTTGCTGAAATTGGCTTCTAAATTTGAATAAAAGTCAAGCTTGTCTTTTCTCTATCTACACTAGCTCACTGCTAGACCTAAATTTGGTCTAGTTTACCTTTGTAATCAAAACTCTAATAGGAATTACAGGACAAAGGAATTTTAGAAAATTTGTGATTTTGTATAGTGAAGTCATGTTAGAATTTTGCTACATTTTGAAAATGGACTATCTAGTACCATGCAGTCACAGCATACCTATGTTTTGAGTCATGACATTTTTCACTTCATTCACCTCTCGTCGAACTGTTGAGATCTGATCTGTATCATCATGGCCAGGATCAGAGAACAAAGACTGGTGAGGTAATAATGCAATAAATAAATATATATAAGTAGACTAGTTTAAACAGACATGCCCTGTAAGGACCAACCATTTTAAAATACACGTTGGTTGGGGTGGTCAAGTTCTTTTTTGCATTTTAACTATTATGTTTTAATCCATCATATAACATGAGTGGAACAGTTCATCAAATGAATGTAGTTGTATTCATGATTGAAAAATGTTACTCTGGTTTAAAACAAATGTAAAAATGTTAGTAACAATTTTTATCTGTAAAAGTCCCAACATTTCGGCTAAAACTTCAGCCTTCATCAGGGGAAAGTGACAAGGAATTTGTAAAAAGGCACGTTCTTATACTATGCAAATCGGCAAATTGGAGCTAATTATGTTCTGTCCCTTAGGGCTAAATTTAAAAATTCGTACTGCAAATGCATGCAATCATCACGGTTCAGCGGATTCCTGCAAGTGTTAATTTCCCATGCTTCTAAAATACGTCTGTTGCGCCAATTTGTGCTTGTACGTAAAATCTTTGAAGATTCCCAGGAGATGGTGTGGCCAGAGTGTAAACAATGTTCCGCTAAAGCTGACTTGTGCGAGTGTTTGTTTACAACCGCTTTTTGATGTTCTTTGAGCCGGGTGGAAAATTTTTGTTTCATTTCCCTGATGTAGCTTTTGTCACAACCTTGACAGGGAATTGAATAAATTGCTCCACGAGTCTGATCTTTCGGGACTGGGTCTTTTGGTTTGGGAAATAAATTGCCGATGGTATGGTGTGGTTTTAAAGCAACTTTGATATTGTAATTGCTTTGGATTCGCTTAATCAGTTCCGTAGTGCTCTTGACATATGCCCTTGACGAACGCTTGCAACTGCACTGGATAATAAAAAAGGTTTCTGCATTTTACCATATGTCAATGATGATGATGACATGCATTTGCCGCACAAATTTTTAAATTTAGCTCTAAGGGACAGGACATAATTAGCTCCGATTTGCCAATTTGCATAGTATAAGAACGTGCCTTTTTACAAATTCCTTGTCACTTTCCCCTGATGAAGGCTGAGGTTTTAGCCGAAACGTTGGGACTTTTACAGATAAAAATTGTTACTAACATTTTTACATTTGTTTTAAACCAGAGTAACGTTTTTCAATCATGAATCAATCACCTGGTTACAAAACCATTTTTAAAATGTAGTTGTAGTTCAATAATCCTTTGGACCAACATGAGAAAAGTTAGTCTCAACCAACCCAGCCAAGTGATCAATGGATTTAACAAGACTGGCTACTCCAACAGACAAGACCTAACACTACAGTTATCAAATTAAGTTCCAACCGAAAAAAGTTGGAAAACATAACAAACATCAAGGAACAAAAGAAAAAATAAGCTATCACTGACACTTCTCATAACTTTACTCTTGACCTTTGATATTTTATTAACGGAAATATGAAATACTATACAGAGTGTCTTTTTCTGATATTGCCTTTGTTGGTAAAATATTTGGCAAAATATTTGACAAAATGTTGATTGTGTGTTGTTCTTATGTTGGCTCAGAGTTTTTGCTGTTGTCTACATGTATATTTGTGAAGACACATAAAATTATAATACTTTTGTACAACCTTAGGAAAGAATGCTATGGATTACAAGAGAATAAGTTGGGTGAAGACTAATGATTCTGCAATCTTCTGTTTTCACAAAAAGTCTGCCATTCACCCTTAATTAAAGACCCCTCACCATTTGACTGGCCAGTACTTGTCCAAAATCTCTCCTGAATTCATTTGCATGAGCTGCTCTTGCCCTTTGTTTCAGAGAGCTGTTCACAAATCTGCGTTTGATCTGTATGCAGAGTTTAGTTGAAAGATAAATAGGACATATATGATTAACAAATTTCTCTTAGTTACCTCTGAGGTCTGTTCAACTTCTTGTTCACTAATCTTGGTGACATCCCCTCTGCCCCCCAAAAAAAAACATTTATTGAGTTATAGTTTTAAAATTTTTAACTACCAGCTAGTCACCATACTACCACAACTCTGGCCTTGAGGCTGGAGTCAAATTAAAGTGACTCCTTCTAAGAATGGTTAGGAGTCACAGATAAATTTTTGATGTAAAAGATACCAAATTTGAAATATTTGTCAGTAAACCCTGAGATATAAACTAATCAAATAAAGCTGAGTATACCATAAGTTACATTGTACACCTGTCAGCTCTACATCTATCAAACAAAATTTGCAAAGTATTCTGTAAATCAAGAATTGGCATTACAGTGTACCTCCTCTAAAAATGCATATGGCTGTCTCTTTCCAAATTCCTCATCAGCCATGCAAAGGTAAATTATTCCATCATCTACTATTACATGGAAGTGGTAACTTGAAAACAAAACAAAATAAAACAAATTTAGCCTCAGGATTGAGTCTTTCTCTGAGTAAGGGGAGGATAAAAATTCTCACAAAAACCCTTGATGTCTAACTAGTTTAATTTGGTGTTTCATAAATGAGAACATTTCCATTTGTTTGGCACACTCCCTAAGATGGAAGGTTTCTAAACAGTTACCTTTTGAAAAAGGAAAAGAGGGAGAGAGATCCCTGATACAGATAATCCACACTGAAAATGTTCCTAAATTCATCCACAAGTCTTCCATTAATATCAATCTTTGTGAAAATAAAAGAATTTATTAAATCCATTTTGAAATCACTGGTTATCCTTGCAATCTGATTGGCTCTCAGTGGTGCAATTTATTCACGAATCGCACTATTTTTTGCTCCAAATTGCATCTTTTTCTCAGCCAATGAGAATGGGACAGTAAAACAAAACAACCAATCAGATTCCAAGAGTAGTTTAAAGTAATCAATAAAATTTCAGGAAAATGAAAGGCAAAAGGCCATTGTGTGGAGAATTTTGCAACTAGTATTGCCAAAACTTTGTTGTTATTGTAGTTTTTTCCAAAAAAATTGACAAATTTAATTAATTACAGTTTCTGAATGATGATTATGAGTTCCTTCAGGCTGAAGACCTACTTTAATGGAAGTTTCCAACTTTCAGTGTCCATTTTGATGAATATTTTGGCAATTTTTCTTCAACATCTGCTCAAGATACGTATGATAACAAGTCCAGTAAAACATAAACAAACGAAAACCACACAACAACAAATTCAGAGCCATCTCAAGAAGGTAGATGTTTCCAAGTTTCCAGTAGTTTCAAACGAAGCAACAAAAGAGCTCAACTCTGTTGCTGTGAATAAACATAGTCAAAATACGCCACACTGCACAAAAAAGTGAATGAATGAACATCTTACAAACCCGTGCCAGTCCTGCCATCTTGGAAATATCTTAAAACAAATGGAGCCGGGATCATTTCCAACCAAATGTACAACCCCGAACTTTTAGATGCATGTGTGACTTGTGACACTTGAGTGCTCTCTGAATCTGACAAAAGGTTGAAATTGGCATCCAAAATTCCGCACAGTTCTTTCCCATACCCTATTAGTTGTGGAGAATTTGGAAAAAATACACATCCGGCAAGCATGCTTTTAATCCCCCCCAACCACAAAAAAAAAAAATTTCATGCACACAACTACTGCCGAAATAAAATTTTACACATACTCAGTGAGCTGCAAAATACCTGTCACATGGAGGAAAAAATATCATGGATTCATGGATATCAGTACATAAGAGGGTTAAAAACAAAAAAACACGTCCATACCAACTCACCCTCCCCCTTCAAAATTAAATGGTTCACCCCTAAATTAATTGAAAATACGTCATTGTTTGTCCATGTACAGTGGAACCCCGCCTTACGACCACCCCGTTAATACGACCAGTTTTCCATGGCCCGAAGGTGGTCGTATTGACGGGGTTCCACTGTACGTACTTCCGCCCTACGCTATGAACACGATGTCATTTGTTTACTACAGACTTCTGCGTGAAAAATAATTTGAGTGACGACTAGTTCAAGACCAGACAATTGAGAAATATGGTTAAATTTACTCCTTTTCCATATACAGAAGTCCTTTTAAAACTCTAAAAACCGTGAGCTTCAGTCAATGTTCGATTGCGACAGGAGCTTTAGCTTACTGTAGATCCCTCTCGTATGCGTTTCACGCCACTGGACATGAACGGCAAGCCCGGGCTGCCCTATAAATCCATTCATCTGAATGTTGAATTATCTGATGCTCAGTTCATCACGTTCTCATAGTATATTGAAATTTTAAAGTTATAAGCAAAGTAAATGTTGAATCACTTCTTTTAAAAAAATCCTTCCATTTACAAAATTCAGCTTACCTTCCAGAAACATACGTGCATTTTGTATCATCGTCTAAGGGAATTTTTTGCAAAATTGAGCTTGTTATCTGCTGAAAGTTGCCAGTAGATTCTGTGTAGTCGACAAGAACAGTAGTTCCACGAGCTATAAGGCTATATATTATTGACATGACGACCGAAGAAAGGCTTGCGTCGATCAAGGAATAAGCGCGTTTACAAGTACAGCGCAAAACGTAGTTTCCTGTTCATATATGACATCGACAGCTGTCTCCAAACTTGGTATTTCGTTCCATTGTACCCAGTTCCCACATCCTAGGCAGAGTAGAACCTGGATCCCAAACGAGGGTTGGTCAACATCACGTCCCCATAGCCCTTTTCGCTTCTCTTAGCCGGCGAGGCCTTCGCATCGAAGGGGCCTTCGATTTCTCGTGCCAAGGCCTCGCCGGCTAAGAGAAGCGAAAAGGGCTATGGGGACGAGACCAACACCGCAAACGACATCAAAAAATGTATTGTGGCCGCTAATGAATCCCGAAAGTAACTAACCTCCCCCTTCCTCTCCCCCTCCCCAAAAGTAGTAAAACCAAGGTTCAACAATATATACATTTTTCCAATCTGAAGTGAGAGTTAGGTACGGTATCTTGATTTAAGCCCCGGAGGGTACTTCCAGAAAGGTTGGGTGGGGGTGTACAGCCCACTTTCCAAAACCCTTACCCCATTTATGACCAAAATCTGTGTTTTGTGCTACCCTATTTACGACCCGGCCAAAAATCCGATACCCTATTTATGACCGTTGCGGCTGACACAGTTGCCCTAAACATCATTTATGAAGGGCTTTTGTTGACGGTCTTATTGATAATGATGAAAAAGTAGCTTTTTCTAAGAAACATACCCAATTCAAGATTAGAGTGCTAAAGCCATACCCAATTTATAACCAAAATGGCCATGACCAAAACGGCTGAAAAACCCTAACCTTTGGGGCCGCACATGCCCAGGGGGCAAGTACCTATAAAGCCCATATAACGGAGTTCCCCCCGGGGATTTAAGGTACAACAACGGAAGGTATCACTTATGTCACGAAGGTAACGTAGCGTTTTGTGCTTTGCACCGTGTTGAAACAAAACTCGTAGAATTTTCTTCAAGTAACAGTACTGTACTGTATCATTTTCGGATTAACAAATTGACGTCAGTTTTTTATGCGTCTGTCCTCTTATTGATGATAAATTGCGTCATAACATTGTCATTAACATTGTGGCTGTGGAACCACGAGTCGCAGGCGAATGCTCCCGCAGTAAACTTTGACAATGTTATGACGAAATTTATCATCAATAGGAGGACAGACGCACAAAAAACTGACGTCAATTTGTTTTTTACAATAACAAGACCCCAAAATGGTCAAATGCCGGGAATAAATGAGGGGAAAAGACGCCATAAACCTGCCGTAAACAAAGATAAGAGGATTTTATTGAAAATGGCACAAGCATTTTCAATAGCTTTTCTGACTTTTTGATTGGCTACTTAAAAAAGTCAATATAATCTCATTGCTTAAAAAGTTGACAGTTTGACAGGTGAAAGTTGAAAGTTGAACTTGAAAGCTTGCATAAATTAAAATTTTATCCGTCTGTACTCTTATTGATGATAAAAATGAGCCAATCAGCGCGCGAGAAATTAG